TCTTCTCACCCTTAGCTGGGTGCAGAGTGCCCCCAGCCCCTGCCCCAGGCTGTGCCGAGACAGGAGAGCGAGAAGCCCTCCCTATCTCAGGATCGCCCCCCAGCCAGGGCTTGGATACTCCAGGAACGGGGAACTCATTACATCCAAGGCATCCATCATTTTGTGGGGCTCCTCTTTCCTTAAAATGAGCCAGAGTCTGTGCCCATGACCCTTAGCGGGGCCCAGGAGCAGGTCATGACCTCTTCCTTTGGAGCAAGATGGAGGCTCCTAAACCCAAATCTTCTTTCCTGAGCCCAAAACCTCAGGTCCTTCCTTCCATGGCCTGGCTTCAGCCCCCCAGCCATCTGCACTGCCCTTTGTTGGGTGAGCCCCATGTTGTCGCCACCCTTCTTAGTTGGTGGCCTCCAAAACAGCTCCAATGGTCGAGATGAGGTCTGAGCAGCCAGGTGACCTCACTCTGCTTCAGCCCTCGCGGCCCTCCTGCCTGCAGCACGGATACCAGGGGAGGCAAAGGCCCAGGGCATGCCCAGCCCTGCTCTGGGACCAGAACGGACATTCCTTGCCTCCTGCTCTGAACTCTCAGGCCTCCCCTGACCTCGGGCCTGGGGGGCCACCTGGACTCCTGCCTGGGATGGATAACTCTCCTGGCAAAGTCAGCTGAACCTGCCTGCTCCTTCCAGGCACTTCCATCTCCCTCTGGTGCCTGGCCTTGCTAACGTCATTCAAGGAGTCTGCTCCGGGTCTTAGTCCCTTCCCAGCAACTGTGTCCCTCGCAGCCCCAGCAAGGCAAATCGAAGCTCCGGGCACGAAGGACTGTGTCCAGGAGTCTAAATGGGCAGCCTGCTCTGACTGTCACTCTCTGGTTAGTGGCCTGAGGCCCTTGATGTCCTGTCCGGCAGCCAGCCATCTCAGAGGTATGCCCAGCCACTTTGAGGACTGAAAAACCACAGCCCACATAATAATCACTGATGCATATTAACCACACAGTGCTTCCTCCTTGATAACCTACTTCCTCCTCCCCAGTGTTGACCCTGCCCTGCGGCCAGAGGGGCTCCAGGCTTGGAAGAAGAGGCCCTGTCACCCATCAGCTGCTTCTCCACACTGTGCCCCGTATCTGCATCCCAGGCTCGCGTGGCGGCTAATTCTGGCATCTCATCAGACAGTAATTGTGGGGGAATCAGCAGGACTGTCATCTCTGCAGCTCAGCACCTGTCACCACGCCACCATCCCCAGGCTGCTGGGCTGGGACCGGAAGCTGAGGGAGGAGGAGTGCGCTGGGGTGAGGGGCATAGTTGCAGCCTTTACTTCCTTCAACCCTACCTCTCCACAGGGCTGTGATGCACGTCTACCAGGTGGCCACTAGCCACACAAGTGCTCCCTGTCACCCAGGGCAGGTACTGGCTGCATGTGTCACGTGTCACATGTATGCATGGCCATGACCAAACAGAGCAGGAAGGACACAACAAGCCAAGGCTCAAATCTTGCCTCGTCCCCTTCCCACACGTGTGACCTTGAACAAGTTCTTTTACTTCTCTGGACATCAGTTTCTCCAATGGCAAAATGGGGAAAACAGTGCCTACCTTGGGAAGATGGGAAGAAATAAAAATGTAAAGTCTCTAGCCCAGTGCCAGGCACATGTATGATCATGTATTCACTTAAACAATTAGTATACACCTACTATGTGCTATGCAATGTGGGGACGCCATGACAAATGAATCCTGGTTTAGTAAGGATCACATTGGGGCCACACTGGGCCACAGGCATTTTGTTTGGCTGGTGGTGTTTTGTTTTGCTTTGTTTCTCTGAATTTTAATGTCTTTAAGGAGCATATGTACCCTTCTCCTCACCACAGTCCCCACCCTTCCCTATTGTCCTCATCCACTGCTTCACTCATTTCCTGCCCCTGAAGGCACTGAGTTTGCTGCCCCCAAAAGCAAAAGTGGACTAGTAGGTTCAGTTGTGTCCAGAACCACTGGCCATGAGAGATTTGACAGTACCATGGGAGCTCAGAGGGGCACTTCAGGGAGGAGCAGAGAGGGGAGGTGACAAAGGGAAGGTGTCTGTTTCGTGGAAGAGGAGTCACAGAAGCCAAGGTTCACAGAGGGGGGAGGCCAGGCCCAATGGGAGCTGATGGAGACAAAGAGAGCTCAGGAGGTCCTTCCCGGTGTTGGATCTCCAGGCCCCAGGCACCTCCCGCTCCTCCAGAACTGCTTCCTAGGTGGGCCTTATTGACAGAGCTACCCTGTAAGACCACCTCCCTTACCTCACAGCCAAGCAGCATCTGCTGTCACAACCAAGTCATTGAGTCACTTCCCTGTCCCCATGCTCTTTTCCCAGGTTGAGAGGAACTCTGCCAGAACCGAAAGGAAGTCTGAAAATGGGAACTCTCTAACCTCCAGCCCCCCACTCCGCCCCCCCACTCCAGGGTCTGCGGGCCCCTGAGACTCCCCAGGGGGAACCAGGAACTGGGGTGGAGGAGGAAAGTGGAGATGAATCTCAGTCAATTCTCAGTGGCACAAACCATGAAGGAACCCTGCCTATAGGAGCACAGAAAGTGGGGCGAAGGCGTACCACTCAACACACAGCCTGAGGGATTGAGGCTGGACCTAGGATAGGCTCCAGGTGGAAGGCAAAATGGAAAGAGGGGCAGTAAGGCTGAGGCTGCCATGATGGATTATCTGTGTGGCCCTGGGCATGTCACTTAATCCCTCCGGTCTGCCACCTCCGCCGGAAAACAGAGACAACAGCATCGAGCTCACAGGACGCTTGGGAGGATGAAATGAACTAACACATGTACCGAGCCTAACCCAGCCTATGGCTCATACATTATTGAAGAAACAGTCAATAAATATTCGTCACTAGTATTTTCATTATTACCACGGACGATTTTTTTTCAAAACTCAGCAACGATGAAATGACAGCCCCCTTTGCCAGCCCTCCACTCCCTCGCTCTCTCTGAGCCCACAGAGGAGCACAAAGATCTCTTCTAACAGAAACCAGAGTCAACAGTGAGAGGCTGGTCCCACTGAGCCCACCTCCATGGAGCCTCTGGCCCCTCGCGATACCTCCCCCACCCCTACCGCAACCCCAGGCAGTCTAATAATCCTTCACAGCACTTTTCCAAAGCCCACCCACATCTGACTCCACTCTGGGGGGTCAAGCAGGAACGTGGCCGTTCCTCCTCCTTACAGACGTGGAAAGTAAGTCTTGGAAGGGATGGAGCTCCCTGCCTCTGGGAGTATTCCAGAAAAGGGTGGATGAAAGAGGACAGCATTCAGGACCCCTCCCTGGTTCCCCACCCCGAACTCACCCGGAGGGTGAGGGCCGCTCTGCTGTTTGTGTGGGGAAGGGGCTGGTGGCCTGGGTGACAAGGACAGGGGCGGAGGGAAAGGGCCGCAGTCCCCAGTGGCTCCTGCCTCCTCCCGGCAGCAGCCGCGGAGCGGGGAGCGAGGGGAGCAGCATCGTTGCTCTTTTAGGAAAACGGTAATTTTAATTAAGAGGCAGACAAACGAGCGCTCTGCAGATTGTCTCCGAGCAAAGTTATTAAAAAGCCATCAAGGCGGCAGCAGCCACAGTGGCAAGGAGGGCTGCCTCCCTGAGCTGCCCGCCGGATTGGGGCTGAAGCACCTTCAGACAGCTGGAGAAGGCTGGAGGACGTGGAGCCTCCAGCCAATGCCAACACAGGATCCTGCAGCCCCTCTCCCAAGGTGGGGCAGGGGCCGCACCTAAGACAGTGCCCAGGGCACAGCCTGGCCAACCCAGGGCGGGGACAGAAAGAAAGCCAGCAATCAGGCAGCCCCCGCGGTGGGCCAGGCTCTGTACCAGCTGCTGCTTCTCCTTTATTCTTCTAAGCAATCCTGCCATTTTACAGGCAAGAACACTGAGGCTCAGAGAGGGAAAGTGGCTTGTCCAAAGCCACACCACCGGGAAATGACTTAAGTGACGATTTGAACCCAGGTCAGGATGACTCTCAAGTCCAGTGCTCCAGGCCGCTAGTCCTGGGCACAGAAGAGAGGGTGGCCTCCCAGCCTGGGCTCCCTGAGGCCCTCTGAAGGGGCCTCAGCACTGGACCAAAAATGCTACTCACAATCCCAGGGTTGCCAGGGACTTGGGGCCTCAGTCCCTGCCTGCTTGGCAGGGGCACACTAGGAGAGGGGCGCCATCAGGTCAGGGGACACTCTTCAGGGACATAAAGTACAGAGCAGCTGCCAGCAGGGGGAGCAGGGGCGGATGGGTGCATCAGTGGGCACAGTCACAGCCCTGGGGTGAGGCCAGGTACTCGATGGCCCGCTGGCCAGGCCACATCTGGTGAAGCCCCACAGCTGGTGAATTCAGCCAACCCCTTAGCCTCTATTTGCTGACCAATGAAAGAACCTCTCTGTCTAGGTCACTGCTGGACTCTGAGCCCAGCCCAGTGCCTGGCACAGAGGTGTTCAATAAATGTTCACTGAATGACTGAATGAATGTACGAGTAAATGATTGAATAAATGAAATGAGATCACAGGTTTGCAAGTGCCTATAAACTAAACAAAGCTGAGCTTGGATGCAGTCCCATCTTCTCCCATCCCCCACCCTCTGGCCACGATGGAGTACTGGCTCCCTGCCCCCCCCCCCCCCCCCCCCCCCCGGGGAGGAGGGCCCCTTGCCTCTGACTCCCTCCCCAGGCCCCCAAGTCCCTCAGCAGAGGGTTCCTGCCTCCTCCCCCTCCCCAGCCCCAATTACATGACAGCCTTGCAGCCAGCACACACATATACATGCACACGTGCTTGTACACGCACACTAACTCACATGCACACACGTGCACACACAGACACATTCTCTGCCAGGCCAGGTGCCCTCCCCGGAGTCAGGTCTCTGCTGCCTCCTCCCCTGGCACAGGCCTGGGCCCCCCAGGGATTACCCCCTCCCCCATTTCCAGCCCTCTAGGCTGGGAAGGGGCCTCTGGCTAAGGAGCAGGGGCTGCGGGATGGTGGGGGAGGCCTCCCTCCTGGCTTACTAACCTGGAGACTTTAAACAGAGGGAACAGAGTCCTGGAGGCTTCCCTCCCGCCGCTCGCTGGAGCCCTGGGTGAGGGACAGGAAAGGAGGAAAGTCGTGAATGAACGCCCCAGGCCTGAGCGGAAGGGGCCGGGGCAGGGGATCCCAGAGTGGGAGGACCGCGGGCCATGGGCCACGGGGAAGAGGGAGCAGGGACAGAGCAAGGCAGAGCCTCAGGAGCTGTCCGTCTGGGGGTCACTGGGGGCTGGGCGCAGGCAAGATACAGACTGGGTGCCAGAGGAAGTGCAGGGGCTGAGGGGGTAACAACACTAGTGGGAGACAGACAGGAGGACAGACAGCAGGACAACATAGAAAACACGGGGTCCCCAGGTTGGGGTCCCTGGGACAGCCAACAGGCCAGGCCTGGTTCTCCTCCCAGAAACCGGGGCAGACTCTTTTCTAGGGTGCCCACACAAGATCCCAAATGACAGCACCTGGGAGAGCCCATCTGCCTCCCTCAGCCAAAGTCACCCCATTCTGGAAAGGCAGGTGGATCTGGAGTCAGAGGGCCGGCCATCAGTGCTCTGCTGACAACCCTCTCCCAGCCCAAGGGACCCCATCTGCTCACTCACCCCCTCAGCCTGGGGAAGGCCCCTCCTCTGCCTGCGACAGAGGAAACGGGTACTTCACACGCAGCAAGCACTCGCTCACCCACCGCAGTGGGGCTGTGCCTGGAGTCCTGCACCCAGCTCCTGCCTCCACACCCAGCCGACCCTCTAACCACCAGGGCAGGGCCTCCCTGCGCTGTCCATCGTGGCTGCCTCCCTCTCACCTGCAGGAAGTCCTTCCACCTGTGCTCTGTCTCCCTCATGCTGCCATATCTGTCTGTCGCCTCTCATCCTGGGGCACGCAGCATAAGACCCTTCCTGCCCAGAGACACTGTGGCCCAGGCACCCTCTCGGGCACAGCCCTCCCTCAGCTGGCTCAGACCCATCCATACCCACATCACGTCTGGCTGCAATCGTTCTCAGAGCCCCCTGCCAATCTCATGGTTCCAATTTTCCCACCGATTACCCCAGACGCAGGCACCCCAGGGAGAAGCAGCTGTTGTTCCCAGATGTTGGGACATTGACTGGGGGAAGAAATCAAGAATGTTCACTAACGAATCCAGCCCCAGAGGGCTTCCTGGACAAGGTGGGGGGGGGTGGGCGGGGAAGGGGCAGATGGATAGAGGGGCACAGGGTGTGGGTGGAAGACTCAGGAGACCTGGCTTCCTTCTCACCAGCGGCCTTAAGCGGTAGCTCCAGGGGCCCAGCCCCAGAGAGGCTGGGGTGCCAATCTGGGTTTCAGAGTAGACTAAGAGGGTTTCCCACACATGCCCCTTCCTCCGGGGAGAGCGGTCCCGTCCCATCATTTAGTTGGAGGAGGAGGACGAAGACGAAGAAATTACTGTTTATTGAAGGTTGACAATGTGCCAGAAACTCTGCCTAAATTACCTCATTTATTCTTGGTACCCACCCTGTGAGGGAACCACTGTTGTCAGCCCCAATTTACAGATGAGGCAAAGTGACTTGCCCAAAACCACAGAGCAAGCAAGTATCTTGACCCCTGAGCTAAACTGCCTCCCATCCATCCTCCCTAGTCTCGGCTGTCTCCATTCAGTGCCCTCTGGGAAGTTCTGCTTAACGTCTAACCTCTTTCAGTCCCATGCTCCATCATAAACTATTTCTTAAGGACAATGAGTGGAAGAGAAGGCTTTGCTTCAGTCTCTTTCTGTCTCATCCTAGGAGTGGGAGGCAGATGATTCTAACGCTGGGCTGCAGATGGACCAGGGACCAGGGAAGGGGGTGAGCTGTGGGGTCAGGAGAGGTGAGTCCAGGATTTCCTGAGCTTCACCTCTAAGAGACTTCTGGCTCTCCCACCTCCCTCACCGAAGAGGCTCCAGGAAGCCCATCAAAAGCCTTCTTGTTTCACCATCCAGAATTTCCCCCAGCCCCAGGCTAGGGAGAGCCTAAAAAGTCTGGAGCCGGTCAGTAGAAGGAGGCTGGGACAAGAACGGGGACTCCTCAGGCCAGCCTGGCCACTGCGTGGGGCACAGTAGGCAGGGGACAGCCCAGGAGAGCAGTCAGAGGCCTGGATGTCTGCAAGGGCTTCAGCGAGCCATGGAATGCATTCCCAACGAGCTGGGATCATTAATTCTTTCCCAATGAGGCAGATGCTGGTGCCTGGGGTGACGCCACAGTTGCCTACTGTGTCTGCAATTATCACACGCCCTCGGGCAGGTGGGAGCCAGCAGGACACACCCCTCCACCTCCTATGCTCTGCACAAATATCTCTAGCTAGGGCCTCTCCATGGGGGTCTCTGGGTCTGGGGGCCCCCCTGTGGGCCTGGGGTCTCCAGCATGCTCTGTGGCTGGAGTGGAAAAGAAGCCAGTGTCCTGGGATAAGGTTGTTTGCAGAAGTGAGGAAGGTAGGCCTGTGAAAACCCAATTCCTTCCCAGTCTTTCTCTACTCCATGCCGGGACATGCAGGCAACTGGACCAGGTGGCTGAGGCTACCGGGAACCAGGAAAAGGTTGTGCAGGAGCTGAGCCTGCGGCTGGAAGTGCCTCGGCAGAAAACACGGACTGGATTATAGTCCCTGGCTGGAATGGAGGGTGGCAAAGTCCGTTCTGCCTGGTGGGAGGAAAGCAGTGTTTGAGTCAGACACAGCTGAATCCTCGGGCCACTCCTTTATCCATCCTCCAGGCTGAGAGGGCAGATTTAGGCAAGGTGCGCCTTCGGAGCAGGAGGGACTGTTTGTAAGGGGTGTGTGTGTAAACGTGTGTGCGCCAACATTCTCTTTGGCCAAATCTCCATTTTTCTTGGTTTAGCTGGAGCTGGGAAATAGTCTTCCCACATTCCACGTGGCGAGGCATGTATAATCTCAGGGGACAGGAGGTAGGCAGAACCTGTGACAGCTGGAAGAAACCTTAGAGATTGTCTAGTTCCACCCTCCCCTCTCACACCAAGAACACTGAGGACCAGAGGGAGCAACTAACTTGCCCAAGGTCACACAGCAGCAGAGGAGGCAGGCAACCTGACACCGGTCCAATGCTTGCTCTGCCCTGGGGGATCAAAGAGCCACTTCCCTGTCCCCTTCTCTTCCCCAGCAGCTCTGGACCGCTCTCTATCATGGCCCCCTGCAGTCTACCAACACAACAGCCATAAGAGGTTAAGCTGGATCTGTCAAGCTCCTCAGAATGGCCCAGGTCATCTCAAAGGTCATGCCAACCAGTCCCCTGCCCCGAAGTACAACACCAGCCTCCTCATGCTCAAACACACCTATCATTGAGGTAAAAGATGCAAAAACATGGCTGGAGCTCCCACCTTGGCGTGGCCACCCTTCCCACACAGGGAGGTTTTCCTTCCATCTAACCTCGATTCCTGCTACCACAGCGTGGGCCTGTTTCCTCTCCAGCTGTCCTGCGCAGAGATGGAGGAGGGGCAGAACAGGTTTCCTGGCCTCCAAACCCTTCTGTTTGCCCATCCGCAGCAGAGAGGACGAAGGCGGCATGTTCCAGGCCGCTGGGCCCTGAGCCCAGTGCATGCGTGGGGGGGGGGGGGGGGGGGGGGGCAGCAGTCTGGGTGTGAGCAGCCCGGGGGTGGGTGAAACAGTTCTTCAGGGAATTGTCCCTCCAACTCCTCACTCCCTGCAAAACTCAAAATCTCAGGGTTTTGGAGGGTCTTCTCTGGGCTCAGAGACATCTGTTCCCTCCCCACACCATTTATTAAGTGTTCATTATGTGTCAGGCACCATGCGGGACATTTTCATCTATTGTTTCATTTAATCTTCACAATAATTCCAGTCTCAAACTAATCTGCCCCCTGGGACAGTCCCTCCCTGAGACTAAATCTGACCTTCACCCCTCTTGCTGCATTTCCTCTGGCCCAGTCCTCCTTGGTTGGCAGTGGAGGGGATTTTGGCTTCTGTCTTCAGAAATTCTCACTGCGACTTAGTGGCCTCACATTATCCTCTCCAGGCCGCCAACCTTTACCCCAGTCTTGCCCGTGTGATGGGCATCCTGGGGGTGAAAGGAATGGAGGCGGGACTGAGGCTAGGATCCAGGGTACTGGCCTGTGCTCCACATACATAGAACACATAGTAGGTGGCAGGGGAGGAGGCCCTGGGGACAGTCCCCATGAGATCAGGCTGGGCTGACAGAGGTGGGGGCAGAGCTCAGGGCAGCAGGTTCTGTGATGTCTGCGACCCTGGCAGGGAGCATTGGGCCTCATCTTTGGTGTGGTGACTAGGCAGGGCCCAGAGATGCAGTGCTCTAGTTCTCTCTCAGTGACCTTCACTCAGGTCCAAGTTCCAACCCCACAGACCCAGAGCCCAGGGGCCTGAGCAGAAGCAGGCAGGGGCACAAGACAGCAGGACTTGCCCTGGGCTATGGGCAGGAGCTGAAACCAGAGGAGGAGCGCTGACACGTGGCTAAGCTCCTGGCATACAGGTAGGCCCTGGGAGTGGAGCAGGGAGACCCCCAAGCCCCTCCCCGCCAGCCTCAGTGGGGCTTCACACCCTCATAGTAGCCACTGGCAACTTCAGTGAATTCACACAACACTTGTTTGGACCTTTCGGAACAGGAGCGATTAGGGCAGGGACCCCCTCCCCCAGGGCTGTCCGCCCCCCCCCCCCCATCCTGCTTCCAGCATGGCTGGAACACAGGGGCCAGCCTTACCTCCCCAGGGGCTGTGCAGGCCTCAGCTTCCGCCTCTCTGGGAGATTGGAGCAGTGAAAAGATGGGCCAATGGGCAAGGGGAGTCGCAATGGTGGGTGGGGCTCTGGTCCCTGTGGGTGGCACCCTCCCCCTTCAAGCAGGCACCATTAATATATGCAAAGCATATGCAAATCACCCAGAAGAGAGACACAACATCGGTGGAATGTCAGAAGAGACCTTGGAGATGATCCAGCCCACGCCCCCTCATTTCACAGGTGAGGAAAGAGGCTCCCCTGGGAAGGGACTTGCTCAAGGTCACTCGGACATTTGGGCACTGAGGAAGGGGCCTAACAAAGTCTCTTTACTCAGTCCAGCGCTTTTTGCGCAACAGTGTTGTCCTTCATATGGGGGGTTTACAAGATGGCAAAGGGGGCGCAGGGCCTGGATGGTGCTCCAGGCAGACCTACCAGAGACCCTCAGGGTGTCGGGGAGAGATGGGGCCAAGAGGCTCCCCGGATCCCTCCCTTCCCACCTCTGAGCCTGGAGACAGGTGTGGTGGGTGCGTGGGGAACAGGGGCAGGGGCAGCTGTGCTGCCCAGGACAGTGGGTGACGGGGTTGGGGGGGGGGGGTGGAGGGCCAGAGGCTGGAGGCACTGGTTTCCGGCAGTCAAGCAGCAGTAGAAGGCAGCAGGGGAACTGGAGTGTCTGAAGCCCAATGTCAGGGCAAGGTGCCCGCTGTGGTGCGGGGAGGGGGACGGCGCCCTCACAACACACACACACACACACACACACACACAACTCTCAGTGCTCAGCAATCCCCTTCCGCCTGGACTCTGATAACTATGGCACCTGACAGACCATAATAGTCAACCCAGGCCCATCCCTTCAGTGACTACAGCTGCCCCCACAGCCCCCAATTTGGCTTCTCAACCTTCCAGACAGTCCTAGAAAGCAGGATGGGGAAAGGAAGACAGACAGATGGGAAGGGGCAGACAGAGAGAGAACAGGGGACAGTAAGGAGCAGAGAAGGGGAGACAAAGGGGAAAGAGAGAGAGATACGATGAAGGGCAGAAAGAGGGGAGAGCAGGGGGAAGAAAGTGGGGGAGACCGGGGGTGCTGAGAGGTGGCTGTGGGAGCAGTGGAGTGGTGGGGCGGGGGGCAGGGGAGTCCCGGCCTCCAGAACCAAAGGACAAAGCTAGAGCCTGGGCATGGGGCATAGGAGCCCCCTCGGGGCTGAGGCTGTCTGGTGGCAGTTGGGGGCCATGCCCCTGCCCCTCTGCCCACCTCCCCAGCAACTCCTCCCGCTGCCAGGAAATCAGTCGTCCCTCCTCTGCCGGCCGCCCTCCCTCCCTCCCTCGGGGCAGGCAGCGCTGCTTCCCAGCCAAATCCAAAGGCTTCATCTAGGCTTTTCAGAGCGGGGAATGAAAGACGGGGAGGCGAGTGCAGCCCTCAAACCCGCTGACGGCCAGATTTTTATTATCTTTGCTCGAATGGGCCCTAGGAAGCCAACAAGGGATTCTTCAAAGAGCATCTGAGTGGCTCATTGAAGCCTGCGCCTGCACCTGCACTGGCCCACCCACGGCAGGCAGCCGGGGCCTGGGGGACAAAACCTGTCCCCCACCTCCCACCAAGCCCAGAGACCAGATCCAAGACTGCCGGGAGCCTCGCCCTCAGCTCCCTGTGCCTAGGCAAGGGCCACTAGGTCAGGCAGCCAAGCTTGAAGCCGAGGCCCAGGCCCGCTGGGCCTCTGGGGCAGTCTCTGCCCCTCTCTGGGCCTCAGAGGACACAAATGAAGGAAGAAATTGGATCTCCTTGCCAGGGCTTGGAGGAGATAAGTGCTTGGGATTCCTCGAAAGAGAAGTTTTTATGGCAAGCCCTAGATCCTGCCCCTGAACTATCTGCCTGCCCCACACCCACAGGCCCCCTCACTTGTCTCCAGACTCCCCTTCAGAGGACCCCTCCCAACCACAGCTGCCCCCTCATTCCCACTACTCAGGATGATCCTCAAACCCCAAATCCAGCTCCCTAGCTTCAAATCCTCAACCCCATCTCCCTTCTTTCCCCAAGACCTAACCTGGGGTGGGGGTAGGGCTAAAACAGACCTGGTACTTCAAAGAGCCCAGCCCCTCCCTCCCTGCTTGGGTTTTGTCAGAGAAAGCCAAAGTTGGCACTACACAGACGGCAGCCGTGCCACCTCCGCCCCTCAGCTCTGACCACACCATTGAGACCGATGCCCAAAGCCAAAGAAGGAATCAATGGTCCTAATTAAACCCTTTTTCCAGGGTGGGTCCCTGGCCAGAGAGAGAGAAAGAGAGAGTGCATCTGAGGGCTCTGCATCCCAGCACCAACGCCGTACCCTGTACATCTTTAAGAAACCTGGAGCCCAGCAGGAACCGGGCCATGATGACCCCAGATCCCGCGCCCCCATTGGGCAAGGAGGACAGCAGGAAGCCTGGAGGGGGGCAGGCCTCCCAGTGGCTCATTCCCAGGGACCCTTCCCCAGGAGAGTTCCCCGTCTCCACTCAGCACTGCCTGAGGACCGCAGTTGCTTCTTCCAGATCCCCAGAGCACGTGGGGGACCCACGTCTCCATCCCAGCCCTGAGGGTCATCACAGAGAACAAGCCATCACGGTAAGGGCGGAAGGGGCAGGGCTGGGGGGGGGACTGGACAAAGACCCTCTTGTCCCCAAGGCGGGGTGGCAGGAAGCCAGGGCAAAGTCTTTGCACTCGCTGCCAATGGTGCCTGGGTGCCAGGCAGTCTGGGTGGAGGGGGTATCTTATTCTTGGAACCCCCTCCCCTTATGCCAGAGCCCCCACCCCCATCCCTTGCTTCTACACCAGGCCACCAGCTAAGCTAAGTCTCTACCCCAACAACTCTCAGCTTGCCTGGAGCCCTCCTTCCTGTGTGAATGCCCAGCGCCGACACTTGTCCACCCACGGTGGCCCCAATACCAACCAGAACCAGCAAAAACCCTCACACATAAACCATAATTGCCCCCCACATGCATACACACATATATGCACAACCATGCCAGAAACCACCACCATCATAGCTGCCACCAACAATGACAGAGCCTCGCATTTTCACAGTGACAGGCTCCATCTAATGCATCATCAATTCTTTAAGACCAGCAAGAAGGCTAAGGAAGCATGAGAGAAACTGAGGCATGGAGTTAGACGGCAAAGCAGTTGGCTCAAGGTCACCCAGACCAAGATGTCCAGAGTCGGGAAGGAGGTATTTCCCGCCACCCCACCCCTCACCCCCCACCCCCCACCCGCCGCAAAGTGCTGAAACCCCAGCCAAGGAAGGTTCAGACCCAGAAGCCTGGAACTCTGGGCAGCCACTCCCCACTCCCAGCCCTCATCTGTTTCCCCTTCCTCAAAACGACAGTAGCTCCAACATCTTCCAAAAGGCTTCGGCCAGGACCCCTGTTCGCTCGCGGAACCCACTTCCCTTAAAGTTGGGGGCTGCAGGACCTCCTGGTTCCACAGTACCTATTTTGTGAGAGGGAAAGACCGACCAGGATCTCATGGCACAATCCCTGTTCCTGCTCACCTGGCTCCCCTCGGCCCCCGGGGTCCCTCGGTGCAGCCTCCTCCCTGGAAGAGCGAGCCCTGCCCTCGGCTGTCCTCTCCCACCAGGCCAGGGCAAAGCGCCGGAGGCACTGCCAGGGCTGCATGGGGAGGGGTGGGGCGGGGGGGCTCGCACTAGCAGCCGCACACGCCCCGCCGGGCCCTGCCAGCCGAGCTGCGGAGGCACCCGGCCGGCCCCCTCTGCTTCCACCAGCATCCTGCTGCCCCCACCGACAGGACTCGGAGCTGGTCCGGGAGCTTCTGACGTAGCAGGGGGGTGCGTGGGAGGGGAGGGGGGGCCACGGCGCGTCCCCTCCCCAGCCCCGCCCTCTGCCCCTCAGCCTCCCGCGGTCCCTTCCTCCTCACTCACCCTAGACGCTCTTCCCAGCTGGGGGCGCCCTCCCCTGCCCTGTGGCCTCTGTAGGGGGAGGGCTTAAGATCAAATAGCCCCTCCCCCTTGTGGCCCCTCCCTACCCCCCAGCCGATCAGGGAGCGGGTCCCCAGTTTCTGCAACTGCTGCCTAGGCTCCGAGGTCTCCAGGGCTAGGGCCTCGAGGTGAGGTCGGGGGGGGAGGGGGGGGCGGGGGGCGGGAATACAGGCTTGTATCCCGGCAACACAGCCAACCGCAGAATGCATTCATCCCCTTCCTTCCCTGGGGGGGGCTGGCGCAAAGCGCCTACTACATGCAAGTGCCCGCACCCCATTCTGGGATCTGGGGAAAAGAGAAGACTTTGATGCTGCCCCCACTTCTCCATCCCCCTAGCCTCCCCCTGCATCCTTCTCTTCCTCCTCCTCGGATGGACCACTCCCCTCCCCCACTCTCCTCACCAACCATCCTCCTTCCTCTTCTCCCCACCCCTCCCCCCTCTATACATACCCCTTTAAATTTTAGCCCCTCGGGCCCCCTCCCCCGGAAATCGCGAGGCCCTCCCCACCTGGTTTCCAGCCTCGCCAATCCCTGACCCCCTCTCTGGTCCCAGCACTCCTCTCGCCCCGGTCCTTCTCTCAAACCCAGCGCGCCGCTGTCCCCTACCCCCCACACACCTGCGCCCCGAGCATCCCTCGCCCCGCCGGCCGCCGCCTCCCTGGCCCGGCCGCCGCCCCCGCCCCCGGCCGAGGGGAAAACACACAAAGAAAACAGAAATACCTTCCACTTAAGCATGGAGGCACATTAGGGAGGAGAGAGACAGGGACATGCCTTGGGACGGAGCGTTCCCCATCGGGCGGGGGCGCGGGGGGCGGGGGCCCCGGGCCGGCCTGCCAGGCGCTCGCCCTCTCGCCGCCTCGCGGGCTCCTCGCTCGGCCCCAGCCCTGGGGCGCGGTGCCAGGCGGGCGGGCCGGGGGCGCGGGCCCCGCCGGGGTGGACCAGCTGGGAGGGCGCCGGCGGCCGGGCGTGTGGGTGCGCGCGCGCGCGGGCGTGTCACCGAGTGTGCGAGAGCGTATGTGTGTGTGTGTGTGCGTGTGTGTGCGTGTGTGTGTGTGTATGTGTGAGCGCGCGCGCGGGCTGGCGCGGGTGTGTCACTGCGGGCGGGAACACGCGCGGCGCGGGAACGCGCGTATGGCCGGAACGTACAAAGGGCCGCCCGGGGTGGCGGGGAGCGGGGGAGGGGAGGGGAGGGGAGGGGAGGGGAAGGGAGGGGGCGCTGCGCCTTCTCTCGCCCTCCACCCGCCCTGCTGGATCCCGCGGCGCGCAGGCGGGCCAGGGGTGCAGGGCGCGCTCACGCTCCCCTTCCCAGTCTACCTGCTTCTCCCACCCCAAGCAATCCTCGTGCAACGATAGAGACAAATCCATAAGGCCCTGGACCGCCCTCAGAGGAGGGTGGTGCACCTCGAGTGGGGGACTTCTCGTCTCCAAGCCCTGGTGTTCCTGGGGATGGAGAAGCATTCGGGGAGAGACCGGGCAGGGAAGCAAGGGGGGGCGGCGGGACTGGGGGGCCACTCTTCAGCCAAGGTGACCTCCGAAAGCCACAGCTGCTCTATGCGGGGAGAGTCTAGACCCCCTGCCCCATTCTTGGACACGGCTCAGCCTCGGGGCCTCGGCCCCCAGGTGCCCCCTGCTGGGCTGTCTCCTTGCCCCCAGCTGGGGTTGCTGCCCCTCCTGCAGGCGTCTCCTGGAACTGCAGGGGCCGGTGCTGGGAGTGAGGGGGGGGGTCTATGCTCCTCTGTCAAGTAGAACCCCAAAGGAGGGCGCTCAGGCTCCTGCCCCTTCTCACACCTCGCTTGGCGACGACTTTGACTCCTCCACCGCAACCTGCAGAGCGCTAGCTCTGCCCGACCCCCGCCTTACTCCCACCCTCTCCCTGTCCCACCTTGGCCTACCTGTTGGCTCCACAGACTTCTCCAGGTCCACCCGGCACTGACTCTGACCCCTCCTCCTGTCCTGGTGGCTTGCTCCCTCCCTCCCTCTGGTTCCCTGTCCTGTCCCTTCTCTCCCAAGCTTCTCTTGGGGAGGGGAAGGTGGGCTGAGTCTCCTGCCCCTTTTATTCACTCCCGGCATTCCCAAAGCCACTTTAGATGAGCAAGAAAGGGGCACAGTACATCTCCTCACTATAGGCACCAGGCAGAGTGGCAGGCAGGAGAGGAGACCCCACCCCAAGTGACCCAAATGCCAAACCGGTTTCCCCACTTCCTGGTCTACCCAGTTGCAAGCCTTAAATTTAGGCTCTCCCACGTCCCTGCCCGCCCCTATGCCTGCCCCTGAGCCAGCCACATGCCTGGCTAGGGGCAAGTCCCAGATGCCCCTTAGAGATTAATCTCCAGTTGCAGTAGCTTAGGTGGCAGGGCCAGGGCAGAAGAAGAAGGGGGCCCTTTCCAGCTCCAGCCGGACAGCTCAGGAGGGCAGCCAAGAGCCATGTCCCAGACACACCGTCTGGGCACATGCCCCCAGCAGTCGGCACCCTGACTTCTCCCCTCCTGGGCCAGCTGCCTCTCCCTCTGCCAACTGGACGGTGCCCATCTTTTGGCCTCTGAGCACACTGTGGGCACTTGTCCAGCTCCCTGCCTGGCTGTCTGCCCAGGATGGGCAGGGGAGGGGAAGGGTCGGCCAAGGGAGGGGTGGCTTCCCCTCAGCTGCATGGACACCTCCCAAGTCTCTCAGCACCCAGAGACTAGGGACTCGCCCTGCTGCTCCTCCATTCAGGCGCCCCACTCAAACTACACAGGTCTCTGCCTCCCCCTCAGACTCCCCCGTGAAACAAGGTCTCTTCCTTGTCCCACTTTGTGCCCACCTAAGAGGAAGGGAAGCAGCAGGTGCTCTGCCCATACAGTCATCCCTCCATGTCTGCAGGGGATTGATTTCAGGACGCCCCCCCATACCAAAATCCGCGCATGTTCAAGTCCCTTATATAAAATGGCGTAGTATTTGCACATAACCTATGCTCATCCTCCCATATACTTTAAATCATCTCTAGATTACTTATAATGCCTAATACAATGGAAACGCTGTGTAAATAGTTGTTTTACTGTATTGTTTAGGGAATAATGACAAGAAAGAAAAGACTACATGTTCAGTGCTGAGGCAACCATTGTAGGCCTTTCGATCCGCGGTTATTAGAATCCGCGGATGCAGAACCACAGATATGGAGGGCCGACTTTATCCCCTAATTTAACCCTCTCAACGACCCTGCGGAAGTGAGCATTTTCAGCCCCATTTCAGAGATAAAGGAGTTGAGGCTCAGAGAGGTAGAGCCACTTGTCCAATCTAAGAGTAGCAAAGGTGAAATTCAAACCCAGAGCTGCCTGACTGCAGAGCTCGCAGCCTGTTTTCTATCACTGCCACCATCTCCTGACCGTGTTAGGGCTGCCAGAAGTAGGCACACATTTCATGACCATACAGTGGATGGGAGAGAACGGGGCTCGGGAATGTGGCTGAGGGTGAAGACATACAGTGACATCAAGGTTAAAGAACTGGGCATTGTCCCCTGGATGAAGACTGGAGAGATGTTGTCCTGTCACATGGAGATTTTCCTGCCCTTACACTAGATGCCAAAAGCCATTGGCTTCGGGTACTGGGCAAGGGGGAGGCTCTGTGAATCAGCCCCCAGAGATTGGGAACAGTTCCAAATGTGTTAGCAGGACGATGCATCCGTCCTTCTCACCTTAAGGTGACCTCCCACATCATGGAGTCCCCTCCATAGAGAGGAGCTTAAATCAGATGCAGGTAATATTTTTTATTTGTATGGCTCACTTTTGAAAAACGAATCCTTAACATTTCTGATCATCTTCATAGCTGTGAGCTCCTTTGACTTCTTCCTCCCGTCAACCACTTCACCCACACCCACCCAACCCAGGACAGCTGCCTCCATGGGTCCCACAGAAGGGTGAGAAAGGATACAGCTCCTGAATGGGAACAAAGATCTCGAGGCCCAAGTTGAGCCCAAGGGCTGATGGCCTGGCACCATCGCTCCTCATCAACCCCACTCTGTCCTCTGCCTCACCCCACAGGGAAGATACATGCCTCCTTCCATCCCATCAGATCTTGAAAGCAGAGGCTCCTGGGGTAGGGAGAAGGCTGGGGAAGCCATCTCCATTGATCAGGGCGAGAGCAACCCAGGTATTATTTCTCCAGCCAAGAGACGAGAATTGCTCCTGTAAGTCGGCATGGTGCCCGGGCACAACCAATGTGCCAGCTGCCTCCACCTGAGACGCCTCAGGTGCCACCCCGCCCCCACTCATTCCTCAACAGGTAACTTCCCTCTGGTCTTCCTCCCCCGCCCCTGGCGTGGCTCTCAGTTGGGAGGGGGCAGCTAGCGTGTTTGAAGGATTGGAACAGCAGATCTTAACCACCCGACTTTGCCCTTCTCAAACACTCCACCCGGCCGCCTCGACTGTTCCTGGAAGCCTGCAGGTGGGAGGTCATGGGGGAACACCCTGGAGGTGAGAATTCTCAGCCTCGCTCTCCTTCCCTGAGGTGTTGGGGGAACAGAGTTGCATCTGGACAAACATCTGGGCAGGAAGAGGGAGGTGGGGCGTGGGGTGGGCAGAGAGGGGCCCACGGGCCTCAGGGGGAAGGCACAGAGAAAAGGGTGATGTGGAAATTATGGCTGAGACACCCCAAACTGCTCACTCTGCCACCTTGGGGCCCCCATCCCAGATCCTCGAGAAGGCCCCTACCAACGGGGCTATTGTCTGGCCAGCGCAATTCATGAGCACCCTTTGGACCATCCAAACTCCACCAAGAGTGGCCCTGAAGGCAGGGAGGGGCCCGGGATCTGGCCCTGTTCTGGGGAGAGAGTGACCAGGGACAGAGACCTGGCATCGGGGGCAGAAGCTGGGGGTGCGGTGAGGGAGCTAAGGGGGAG